ATGTCAGGAGTTCAAGACCAGCCTGGTCAACATGGTGAAACCCCGTCTCTACTAAAAATACAAAATTTGCCGGGCGTGGTCGTGCATGCCTGTAATCCCAGCTACTTGGGAGGCTGAGGCAGGAGAATCACTTGAAGCCAGGAGGCAGAGGTTGCGGTGAGCTGAGATTGTGCCATTGCACTCCAACCTAGGCAACAAGAGTGAATCTCTTTCACAAAGGAAAAAAAAAAGTCTAAGCAGCTATCACCACTCTAATAATACTAAGTATGTCTTCTTTTCAATTTTAGCCGGATACTAAGAATCAGGCACTGCCATTCTGTCATCAAAATGGAATAGATTTCTTTATTAGGATGCTCACAAGAATGGAGAACACATGAACTAGCACTCTCCTCATGTAACAGAGAGTACATCTAACCCACAGGGTGGCAGCACACAGGGGAAGGGCTCTCAGAGCTGGTGCCAAGTGTCCACCAAAGAAAGTCCCATTCACCAGAGAGGTTGTTTCCTTGGACTCCATCATCTCTGTTATAGCTACCCGCCAGGTCTCCATGATCTTCCTGAAATCCTTCATGCCAGCACCAGTTCATGCTCTCTGACCTTGTCACTCCCGACTCTTTCAAGACCCAGGTCAACTGCCCCATGGCTCACTCACCCAGGCCGCCTCTGGAATCCTGCAGCACATCTCTTTGGTATGCTGCTGCCCTGCCACCCTCAAGGCCATGGTTGGGGGTAGGGGGAGAACATGAACATCACATTACCAAAAGCAAACAGCAGGGGTACATTAGTAAATGACACTTGGACATAGCCAAACAACCTCACAGAACACATGCTTCCTCCCCCAAATGATACATAATCACCCCAGTGCAAAGGAAACCCCATGATCACTTTAACACATATGAATGATTCTGTGTGCCAGGCACAGGGATACTTAATAAATGGTGTTTAATTCCACCACACTCTGCACACAATAGGAAGCTAGTGGCTGAAAGATCTCTATCCTGGCTCCATCAGCTTTCTCCTGGCTCTTTCTGCCTTTCAACGGTGCCACCACACTGCTTCTATCTGCTCTGAACACTTGTTCCAAAAAGGGAGGATAAAAGGATGAAGGATGGCAGAGGGAGGGAGGGGGAAAACAACCCTGTAAAACACAACAACAACAACACAAAAATCCAGAAACAAGATTTAGTACTACAACATTTTATAACAATAGAGAGTGGCTGAAAATACTACATGCTAACACAGACAATATGATACACGACCTCAGGGGGGCAGGGAGCACGTGGCAAAGGCCATAGGTTTAGACTAAGAGCCTTTCAATGGACTGCTGAATGGATTGGATCTGCTGTTTCAGCTGCGAGCCCTCTTTGATGGTGACAGAACAGGCGATGACAGGCCTGGAGACCCCACAGGCTCTTCCCAGGGCCTGCTTGGAGCGCACAAACACGTAGGGCACGTTCTTGTCTTCACACAGCAGTGGGAGGTGCAGAATGATCTCCAGTGGCTCGGCGTCTGCAGCCATCACGATGAACTCAGAGATGCCCCTGTTGAGGGTTTTGGTGGCTGTGGAGAGAAGGGCGTGAAGCTAATAGGTGATGTGGGCTTGGGCAGGGCAGCCACAACAAACTAGGAAGAATGCCTAGGCACACACAATTGTGTGTGTCCTAGACCAGCCCTGGGATACGATAAAGGATTCAAACATCAGTCAGTCATACACAATGGCCTTTTCTCAAGCTCTACATTAAACCCACCACTTATCCTCGAAACACGCCCTGAATCTGACCACTTTTTTTTTTTTTTTTTTTGAGATGGAGTCTTGTTCTGTCTCACAGCTGGAGTGCAGTGGTGCGATCTTGGCTCACTTCAACCTCCGCCTTCCGGGTTTAAGTGATTCTCCTGCCTCAGCCTCCCAAGTAGCTGGAATTACAGGCACATGCCGCTAATTTTTGTATTTTTAATAGAGACAGGGTTTCACCATGTTGTCCAGGCTGGTCTCGAACTCCTCACCTCAAGTGATCCACCCACCTCGGCCTCCCAAAGTGCTGAGATTACAGGTATGAGCCACAGTGCCATCTAATCTGGTAACTTTTTTCTTTCTTGGTTTTTTTTTTTTTTTTTTTTTTTTGAGATGGAGTCTCGCACTGTCGCCTGGGCTGGAATGCAGTGGCGCAATCTTGGCTCACTGCAACCTCTGCCTCCCAGGTTCAAGTGATTCTCCTGCCTCAGTCTCCCAAGTAGCTGGGATTATAGGCGCCCGCCACCACGCCCAGCTAATTTTGTTTCACTATGTTGGCCAGGCTGGTCTCAAATTCTTGACCTTGTGATCCACCCATGTTGGCTTCCCAAAGTCCTGGGATTACAGGCGTGAGCTACCATGCCTGGCCCTGACCACTTCTTTCTACTCCTCTGCTATACTTGTCCAAGTCACCATCATCTCTTGCCTTGTCAACTGCAAGAGTTTCCACAAACCCCCACCAGCAAGTAGTAGTTTATTAATAAATTAGTACTTCTCAAGGTATCGCTGACTGAGTGTCAGAGTTTTAATATCTCAATCTGCCATAATCAATACTTCTAGAAAGCTCACCCCACATGGGACTCACCATGCAAGTTCAACACCCCACAGCACCATTTCAGATGCATACTCTCCTGATTGCTTGCCTCTGTGGCTCAGTGCGAATACTCTGCATTCATGTTGGAGTACTTGAGAAGGGTACACACTCTAGAGCTACACTGCCTGAGTACAAATGCTGGCACTCATTCTTGTTACACAAATGACCTTGAGCAAAGTGTTTAACTTCCCTTACTTTTATCATCTATAAAACAATTCTACCTAATAGGATTCTACCTAATAAAACAATAATTACCTAATTCTTTTTAACCTAATTCTAATTACCTAATAATTCTACCTAATAGGATTCTTGAAAGGATTAAACAAGTTAATAAGAATGAGGCTGGCGTGGTGGCTCACACCTGTAATCCCAGCACTTTGGGAGGCTGAGGCAGGTAGATCGTCTGAATTCAGAGTTTGAGACCAGCCTGGGCAACATGGCAAAACCCCATCTCTACTAAAAATATAAAAAATTAGCCAGGTGTGGTGGCATACACCTGTTGCTCCAGCTACCTGGGAGGCTGAGGTGGGAGGATCACCTAAGCCCAGGAGGTCGTGGCTGCAGTGAGCCATGATCAATGCCAATGCACTCCAGCCTGGGCTACAGAGACCCTATCTCAAATAAATAAAAATAAACAATAATAATACCTGATACATGGTAAATGCAAAGTATGTTCATTTCTATTGATATTACTATAGTTTATTCACCCTACAAAAGTCATAGGAGTGACTCTTTTACAGTGGCTTACACTGTCTCATGTGATCTCCTAGTACCTCTCATCCCCTCACTTAGTTCCAGCCATACACCAGCCTCCTGAGAGTCCCTCAAGCACGCCTTTGCACCATGCCCAAAATCGTTTCTTTCCAACACCCTCATCTATTCAGTTCTCTGCTCAAACTTCAGCTCCTCAGACAGACCTTCTCTGAATACTCCATCTAAAAAGACCCACCACTGCCATTCCTATCCCCCTTCTCTACTTTATTCTCTTTTACAGTATTCTTTACCACCAGGCATAAAACCTATGTCTTTCTCCACCGGAATGTACACTCCAAGAAGGCAGAGACTTCGTTTTGTTCACCAATGCATCACCAGCATATATACATGTGCCCGGCACACAGCAGGCAATCAATAAATAATATGGCAAGAAAGAATACCTGACACTGAGGCAGAAGTATGGAAAACTGCTACATCTCCCTCCCTGAACTCCTAGTAAGCACATTCTGAACTGAGTCACTGAGACTGAGCATCTCCATTCAAGGATCTGTGTGCCTAGCACCATGCAAAGTATCGCAAGAGGAAATAAGGTTGCTCTGTGTCCATGAGTCCTCATCTGCCTGAGGTATAAGAACTCATGTCCCTGCCCAGCCAAGCTGACCTGAGTGCATCAAGTGAGAAGAGACACCTCCCAGGAGAGCTGGTGAGTCACCCTACAATGCCCCACTGGCCACTGCTATACCAGGCACTGCAGTTACTGCAGTGTGACGAGCAGGGAGGAAAGAGTACCACGATGAGACCCGGAGAGTCTACTTTATCTTCCTTCAGCAACACAGGTAAAAGCGATTATAATGGTTCTCCTAAATCTCAAACACGGTTCACAAAATCTCTAATGTTTCCATTAAAAATCTTCAACGACAAAAGAGCTCTACCACATCAAACTACCAGCATCTGTTAAAATGAGAGTATTCTGGCGGGCTGTGGTAGCTCACGCCTGCTGTTATTCCAGCACTTTGGGAGGCCGAGGCAGGCAGATTGTCTGAGCTCAGGAGTTCAAGACCAGCCTGGGCGACAGAGTGAGATTCTGTCTCCAAAAATAAAAAATAAAAAATAAGGCTGGGCAGCCAGGCACAGTGGCTCACGCCTATAATCCCAGAACTTTGGGAGGCCGAGGCGGGCAGATCACTTGAAGTCAGGAGTTCAAGACCAGTCTGGCCAACATGGTGAAATGTCATCTCTACTTGAAAAAAATAAAAATAAAAATAAGGCTAGACACAGTGTTTCACGCCTGTAATCCCAGCAGCACTCTGGGAGACCAAGACAGTGGATCACCTGAGGTTAGGAGTTCGAGACCAGACTGACCAACATAGTGAAACCCTCTCTCTACTGAAAATACAAAATTAGCCGAATGTGATGGTGCATGCCTGTAATCCCAGCTACTTGGGAGACTGAGGCAGGGGAATCACTTGAACCCGGGAAGTGTAGGTTGCAGTGAGCTGAGATCCTGCCATTGTACTCCAGCCTGGGTAACAAGAGCGAAACTCTCAAATAAATAAATAAAGAAAATTTTAAAAAACGAACAAAGTGAGAGTATCCTATATTACCTCTGGGCAGAAGTATCATGCACACATAATTATTCCACTGAAAAACAGCTGTTTTTCTTTTTTACAAAGGGAGGTGGTGCTTGCTTCAGCAGCACATATACTAAAATTAGAACAATACAGAGAAGATTAGCATGACCCCTGCACAAGGATGACATGCAAATTCGTGAAACGTTCCATGTTTTTGAATAATTGCATCCAAAAAAAAAAAAAGGGAGAGGGGTAGGCAATGTTTCTGGGAACCAAATGAAATTCATGAATGTTAAGTATCCATCGTATAAGGGATGCTAAAAAGCATTAATATCCCTTTCCTTCTGATGGCTCTGGAGAGGTCATACAGCTACTATACAAAGTGTCTACAACTGCTTTCAAATGGCTCAGCAAAAATAAAATTCATTTATAGAGTGAAAAAGAAGGTAAATGTGGCAAAATGTTAATAACTGGTGGGTCTAAAAAAAATTCTTAGCCCATCAGCTTTAGCATCTAATGCCAAAGACCTCCTACTGGTTGTAGTCAAAAGCAGCTAGCCCTCCTCCTCCCAAATTGGAAATCTAGACCAGAGGACCCACATGGAAACATGTACCTTTAACATTCCCCCAGAGCACCCTGTGGCTGCCTTACCCTCATTGGCTCCTTTCCGAAGCTGCTTATAGTTACATGACTGCTGAACGAGATCCAGTAGTTTCTTGGTGAGGTGGGCATCGGCAAGGGGATAGGCCTTTGGATTCACATCGGCCTCAGTCTATGGGGGAAATAAAAATATCAGTCAAATTGAGCCAGAAGTTTTCCTACCTGAGTCACAAAATACTAATCAACAATTGAGACACAGCGGGCAGGTGCCCTGCTCCCCAATCCTCAAACACACAAAACACCAGGTAGTTAACAATGGCCTTTCCACTCCTACCTTCGAAAAAAAGGAAATACAGTATTAGGAATTACACAGTTCAATAAAGTATACTAAAGCTCGTATACTTTTGTCTTTCTTCAGCCAAATGTTTCATAATATTACAGCAAATGGATTACAAATGGGCTCCCATGGCTCAGCATCCATTTGAGTCCATGGGTAATCCGTTTCTGTTTTTTAGACAGAGTCTCACTCTGTTGCCCATGCTGGAGTGCAGTGGTGTGATTTCAGCTCACTGCCACCTCTGTCTCCCAGGTTCAAATGATTCTTGAGCCTCAGTCTCCCAAGTAGCTGGGACTACAGGCGTGCACCACCATACCCGGCTAATTTTTGTATTTTTTGTGGAGACAGGGTTTCACCATGTTGGCCAGGCTGGTCTCAAACTCCTGGCTCACGCCTATAATCACAGCACTCTGGGAGGCAGAGGCAGGTGGATCACCTGAGGTCAGGAGTCCATGGGTAATCTTTAAATTTGAATTTCCATATTCCACTGGAATTTACTGAATCAATAAGATATAATTTACAGTAAATGTAGCACAAAGTTCTCTTTCCATTCCCCATTCTATATGCATATCTTCTGTTCAAACCCCTGGTTTCCAACACACCAGAGTATTTCCTCACCTACTCTACAATAAACACAAAATGGTTCCAAAATTGCTACATCTATATACCACCTCTACCAACAAACTGACCAAAGTCAAAATTTATTTTTGTTCTTAGGATATATCCTATTAAAGTCATCCAGTGACAGGACTGTGTTCAAAAGTTATTCAAATTAAAATTTTCCTTGTGGTTAGCAATTTGGTATACAAGTAGGTTTCTTTCGTTTGTAGTCAACTTGCTTTAGATTTTATTTTTCAAATATGTAAAATATCTTCATGGTTTAAAAGTCAAAACTATGCTAGTGATAGCAACTCAGTGTTTTGACAACTGGAAAAGGGAAACAATCATCCTCTGTGCCTTTCCTAAATGCTGTATTAGGAGGTAACCAGATGAGAAGTACCTCTTGTATCACTATTCCGCCTAATAAAGAGGGAATGGTACACTTAAATATCACCAACTTGCAACCCTTATTAACTAATTAATGGTATTTGCAGTTATGTTAAAAATCCTTACTTTATAAATACATACTGTAATACTTATGGATAAAATGACATCATTGAGATCTGTGTCAAAATAACCCATGTAGGGGCCGAGCGCCGTGTCTCACGCCTGTAGTCCTAGTTACTCGAGAGGCTGACGCAGAATAGCTTGAACCCAGGAGGCGGAGGATGCTGTGAGCCGAGATGGCGCCACTGCACTCCAGCGTGGGCGACAGAGTGAGACTCCGTCTCAGTAAATAAATATACATCCATGTAGGGAGCAAATTGGGTGAGTGGTCTTCCTTTTCCGCTCCTTCCATCGCATTCCCACTGCTCCAGTTAACCATTTCATTACTTTCATCTCTCTCTCTCCTTTTTTTACAAACACGTATTTATGTACAAGGATATATTCATATTATAACGCAGGTGCGGCCCCGCATGTCGCCATCGAGTGTAAGGTGCGAATTGCGAGTGACTTGCTGCGGCTACCACCTAACCTCGGCCTTGGAGGCTAGACACAGGGTGGACGGCAGTCGCTGGAGACGGAGACGGCCAGGTTGGACCACTCATCTATAGCGCCTGTCTCGGTGGTCTCCTGCCCGACACCGCGCGCCTGCCTTTTTCTCCTTCAATTTTTTTACAGCTTTTCTGACATTGCTGGACCACGCTTGCGGCACCGCGGCTCTCGGGAGGTGACCCGTGGGTAGGGGCCCAGTAGGAACACTCACCATAGCGTCTGTCTTGGTAGCCTCTCGCTGGACACCGCAAGGACACCACGCCTGTAGGTCCGGACGGTCTGCTGCCCCGCACCGCAAGGACACGGATGCCCCGCCCCCAGGAGCAGGAAGTGACGTCACTGCCGCCAGCGGAAATGACGTCCAGGGCCAGCTTGTACACCCGGACTCCCTGTCTTCTACCTAACTCGTTATCTTAGGCGAACCTTTCCTGGTCCCAGGACAACTAGGAGAAATTAGGTGAAGGATGGAGGAGTTCTCTAAAGGAAGGTGGTTGGGGAAGGTCGAGGGAAGACCTCCATATTATTTTTCTCTTCCTCATACATTTATTTAGAGACGTAGTCTCCCTCTGTCACCTAGGTTGGAGTGCAGTGGCGCCATCTCGGCTCACTGCAACCTCAGCCTCCTGAGTACCTGGGATTACAGGTGACCGCCATCACGGCCAGCTAATTTTTGTATTTTTGGTAGAGATGAGGTTTCACCACTTTGGCCAGGCTGGTCTCGAACTCCTGATCTCAGGTCATCTGCCTGCGTCGTCCTCCCAAAGTGCTGGGATTACAAGCGTGAGCCACCACACCTGGCCATCCTTTCTTTTTAATGTCTATAGAGCGTGTTTCCTTCATATGTTACTCACTTAAACCTTTTCTTTTTAGAGACAGGGTCTCGCTCTGTCACACAGGCTGGGGTGCTGTAGTGGCATCTTGGCTCACTGCAACCTCCTCCGGGGTTCAAGCAATTCCCTGGCCCCAGCCTTCAGAGTAGCTGGTACTACAGGCACGCACAACCACACCCGGCTAATTTTTTTGTATTTTTAGTGGAGACGGTGTTTCACCATGTTGGCCAGGCTGGTCTCCCAACTGCTGACCTCAAGTGATCCGCTTGTCTTGGCCTCCCAAAGTGTTGGGATTACAGGAGTGAGCCACCGCGCCCGGCCTTACTTTTTTGATTAATCTTTATGAAGGGGACTTTCCTGGGCTCAAGTGGTCCTCCTGCCTCACACTCCCAAGTAGCTGGGACTACATGCATGCATCACCACGTCTGACTCATTTTTTAATTTTAGAGGCACTGTCTCATTATGTTGCCCATGCTGGTCTTGAACTCCTGGCCTCAAACAATCTTCCTGCCTGGGCCTCCCAAAGTACTGGGATTACAGGCGTGAGCCACTGTGCCCAGCCCATTTATATATTTTTAATCTTTCACTATTATATAAATGCTATAATGTCTAATCTCATCTATACCTAATCTATATTATGTTTCATTCAGTATATCTGTAAGATAAACTCCTAGAAGTGGGATTAATGAGTCAAAAGATATAATATGCATTTGTAACTTTTATATCTACTCCAAACTGACCCTGTACAGGGTTTAACAACTTGCACACCCGCCAGCAATGCATGACAGTGACGAATTCCCCAAAACTTTGATAACAGTGTCAAACTGAACTAGCTTCATTGCCTGGGGTAAATATCTGGGGTTTGTTGTCTCGTGCCAAGAAAATTTAGGGCACGGACACACAGGAGTTTAGGAACAAGGTTTTTTTTTTTTTTTTTTTTTTTTTGAGATGGAGTCTTGCTCTGTTGCCCAGGCTGGAGTGTAGAGGTGCGATGGTGCGATCTTGGCTTACTGCCACCTCTGTCTCCTGGGCTCAAGCAATTCTCCTACCTCAGCCCCAACCAGTAGCTGGAATTACAGGTGCACACCACCATGACGGGCTAATTTTTATATTTTTTGGTAGAGACTGGGTTTTGCCATGTTGGCCAGACTGGTCTCAAACTCCTGACCTCAGGTGATCCACCTGCCTCAACCTCCCAAAGTGTTGGGATTACAGGCATGAGCCACTGCGCCTCGCCAGGAGCAGAGGTTTAATAGGCAAAAGAAAGAGAAAGAACAGTTCTCTCTGGTGAGAAAGAGGGGCATCAGAAAGGAAAAGACCCAGTAGTATGCTCTACTTTCTATTTCAGCAATTTCTCCTTTTGTTTTTTTCTTTCCTTCTGCTTTCTTTAGGGTTATTTTGTCTTTGTGTGTTTTTCCTACCTTTTTAGCCCCTTTCTCCCTAGCGTTAGCATCTCAGGCTCCAAGTGATACTTTCATTATATCCTTTCATTTGTTTCTTCCCCCCTCTGCCCTTGTCACTTATGCTCTGGTATGTGGTATTTTCATTATTGTTCTGTTCCATTTTTGAATTCCTACTACAATGTGTTTTTTTTTTTTTTTGAGACGGAGTCTCGCTCTTTCGCCCAGGCTGGAGTGCAGTGGTGCGATCTCAGCTCACTGCAAGCTCTGCCTCCCGGGTTCATGCCATTCTCCTGCCTCAGCCTCCTGAGTAGCTGGGACTACAGGCCCCCACCACCACGCCCGGCTAATTTTTTGTATTTTTTCTTAGTAGAGATGGGGTTTCACCGTGTTAGTCAGGATGGTCTCCATCTCCTGACCTCGTGATTCGCCCGCCGTGGCCTCCCAAGTGCT